CAGGCTGACCCTGACCCGAGTCTGACCCCTGACCCTGGCCTGACTGCTATCCTTACGCTGACCCTGACCCTAGTTTGACTGCTGCCCTCAGGCCGACCCTGACCCAGCATGAACACCCATCCCCCACAGGGGTTCTGTCAGTGGCTCTCCGGGACAGGTCCCTTATTCTGCCAGGGACAGGGGACTGGTGCTCTGGCCGGGTACGGGGGCGGTGGGTCAGCGGCGGGCGGGCCTTTAGCGCCAGCTGTGTGTGCCCCAGGTGTGTCTCATCGGGGACTGTGTGGGGGGCCTCCTGGCCTTCGATGCCATCTGCTACAGCGCGGGGCCCTCGGGTGACAGTCCGGGCGGCAGCAGCCGGAAGGGCAGCATCAGCAGCACCCAGGTGCGGGCCAGCCGGTGGGGGGCGGGGAGGGGCCTGTCCTGGGGAGGTGAGGCGGGCCTTCACCCCGGTACGCGGTCGCTACCCCCGAAGTGTTGCCCTACGGGAGGAGGGCGGGTTTAGGCCGGGGTCGGGCGCCTACGTCCGGATCCCCGGTGGGTCGCCCCGGGCCGAAACCCCGCCGTGACCCGGTGGCTCCCGCGCTCCTTCGCAAGAGTGCTGACCTGACGTCTGGGGAGAAAGGGGTTCATCCGCGCCCGGGGGAGGACGCGGGGCCCCGGAGTCTGTGGTGGCTGCAGTGCTCTCCTGTCCTCTGCGTGACCCCAAAGGACGCCCCCGTCGTGGCGGACGAGGCGTGCGGTCTGGCCGGCAGCAAGCGTCTCAGCAAGAGCAGCATTGACGTCTCCGGCGTGCCGGACGAGGACGCCTCGGAGCCCCAGAGGCCGTTGCCTCGGAAACAGAGCGACTCCTCCACCTACGACTGTGAGGCCATCGGCCAGCATCATGCCTTCCTGTCCAGGTAACCGCCTCCCGGGCCCCGTCTTCCTTCCAGCGCGGCGTCCGGGGCGGCGAGGACCGGCCCTGGGTCCCAGGCCCTTTCGGGAGGCCTGTAGACGGGCGCGGAGAGGCTGGGACCCCGGCCACTCCCCGTGGGCCCTGCGCCCCGTCCCTGCGCCGCCCCGACTTGCGGAGGGAGGGGACGGCCCTCCAGCGTCGCAGACGCTCAGTGTCAAGCTCTGGCAAAGGCAAAATTACGCCCGGCCCGCTTCAACTGCTGCTTAAGAAAAGGCGGTGGAAAAGCGGATGCGGGTGTGTTTTGCGAGCCGCTCCGGGGGTCGTTCTGTTTGTCAGACGGGGCAGTGGAGGCTCCTGGAGGCCGGGAAGCATCCTGGGATCACACGGCCAGCGCCGAGCAGCTGGGGCCGGACTCCGACTCCTGGTCCCTGGTGCGGTCCCTTCTGCAGAGTTGAGTGAGTTACCGGCACACTCATCAGGGCACAAGGGACCCATCTAGGAAAGCAGGCCTTGTTCCACGCTGTCCCTCCGTTCTCTGCCCTGTCTGTCCTCACTCCTTTCTTACCCAAGTGGCAAGTGTCACGGGGCTATCAGGAGGTTTGCAAAATAGGTCCCCTGTGACCGCTTTGGGGTCTTCCTCTTTGTACGTATTTTGTACATCCTTTGTGTTTAGTTTTCCTTGGAAAAAGAACCCTGCTACCGGGATCTTTTCTGATCCTTTCTCTATGTGATACGTATTCGGTAAATATTCTTAACGGGGAGCGTTTCACTGGGTGAGCGGACAGCTCCCTTCATCCCAGTAATTGGATACTTGGCTCCTTCCAGTTCTGGGAAGTTACAGCGTGCGTAAACGTTTGCGCGTGTGTAGGCCTGTTTCATTCGGGTGCATTCGTTTCCCGAAGAGAAATCCTTCCATCAAAGGCCCCGCACATTCAAATCTCTGACTATTCGAAGCCCCTCTGTCAGCCTCAGTTCGCATCAGGCTTGCAGGGTGAGGTCGTGACTTTTCTGGTTCACCCTTGAAAAGTCCTTTAAGAAGGCCCCAAATCCGGAGGGCGACAAGGAGTTGGAGGCTTCTGGTAGCCGGTTCAGCACAGCCAACTTTTCCCTCTAGCGTAGGGACAGATGGCAGTTTCGTCAGACGCCGGCGCTGTCCTCGCGGGGAGAGACAGGAGCCCGAGGACTCAGATCCGGCTACCCGGACCCCTCACGCACGGCCGGCGGGGGACTGGCCCGCGCTCTTTCCGTTGTTATTTCTCAAATTCCCTCTCTCCTCCATCTGGAATATTCTAGTTGAATTTGCATTCAGTTACTTGATTCGTAGATCACGGGATCCCACTGGATCGTCTCACACACACCCTGAGCTGCACTTAAGTGCCACCTGGACGGTCCAGGGGCGCCCGGCTTTCCTGCCCGCCAGGCCTCGGTGGCCGCTCTGGGTCCGGAACAGCATCGGCCCGGCTCTCGGGAGCAGCGGCGCCCGGGCTGGGACTGGGGGCAGTTCTGTGTGTCCCACCTTTCTCTTCAAGCCCTGCTCCCTGTGCAGGTGGTGCGGGAGGGAAGCGCACGCTGTCTGCACCTGGTTCTGCAGGTGGCCTGGGACCCGGGTGACAATGAACTTGCCCGATTCTTCAGGACCGGCTCCGTCCGGCTGGCCTGCGTACCGGCCAGGCCAGGCTCCGCCGGCAGACAGCGCGGGAGCTCACCGGGGGCCCTTGTGAAGCCGGCCCGATGGGGCAGGCCTGCCAGCCTGCAGGATGCTTAGGTGCTCTTAGGCCCTCAGCCCAGCTGAGAAAATGTTTTACCGGATCGTGGCCATGAGCGTCTGTCCAAGTACGGTCTCTGGCTGCCGGCAGGTGACAACGGCAGAGTTGGGTAGATGTGACGGAAGCCGAACGGCCCCGCGGTCTAAACCATTTACCGTCTGGCCCTTCAGAGGAAAAGGGCTGTCGGCCGGGCCCCGGTGGCCCGCGCCAGGGTGGCCGTCAGCTCTCCGGGCTGGCCGGCGGGCTCTGACTCCGGGCCCCGCCGCGGAGGCGGCGGGCTGGGCTCTCCCCGCTCAGCCTACGCACCCCCGCTCCTTCGCTGACTGCCCTCCCGGGGTTCTCTCCCCTGGGCAGCATCCACTCGAACGTGCTGAAGGACGAGGCCGAGCCCCCCGCGGCCGGGGGGCTCCCGCCGCCCGAGGTCAGCCTGGGTCGCTTGGACTTCGACGTGTCCGACTTCTTCCTCTTTGGCTCGCCCCTGGGCCTGGTCCTGGCCATGCGGAGGACAGTGCTGCCGGGACTGGACGGTGGGTGGCGCTGCCGGGGCCTGAGAGGCCTTGTGTCTCTGGACCACGGTGTCGGGGCCTCCGGCTAGGGGACCGTGGGGGGGGGGGCAGGGAGGGGTGGGGCATGGGGAAGGGGGAGGGAGGGGCAGCCTCCCCGGGTGGGACAAAGGTGAGCCAGCCCCGGTGGGTTTCACCTCCCTGTCACATGCCCCACGTGGGCAGTTGTTATGCTCCACAGGAGGAGAAGCCACATTTACCCTCCTGCCGCCCTCCTTCCCCGGCACCCCCAGGCAGACCTTCTGCGGCCGGGGCGACCTCCCCGACCCCCGCACAGTCCCAGGCCCACCTTAGTGCCCGCGGCCTGAGCGCCTGCCCCCAGTGCTCTGAGATACACAGTGAGGTGATGTGCACCGGCCTGTGGTTTAGCAGTGAGTCTGAGGGGACAAGAGGCGGGGGCACCTCGAGGCCCACACGTCAGGGCTTCTCAAAGTCCTTTTCCACAGCGCTCCCCAGCAGCCGCCACCGTGGGACAGAGAAGGGAGGGGCTCTCCTTGAAGTGGGGAGGGGTGAGGCGGAATCCCACGCCGCCTCCAAGTTGGCAAGGGGACCTGGGTCTCCCAGGACTCCGGACTCCGGACCATTCAGTCCCCCCACCCTGGGGGAGGGGGACACGGGGAGGCCTCGGGGGAAGACACCTGCCGGGCTGGGGGGAGAGGTGTCCTGCGGCTCTGGCCAGCCTCGAGCCCTGTCTGCCGCCTGCCTGGGGGCTGAGCGGCTGGGGAAGGGGCCGCTGATTCCGACTGAGAGACCTGGGTCTGCCTGGTAGATCACACGGAGAGTTCGCGGACGCCGGAAGGATTTGCAGGAGACCGAGCAGGGGAAACAGTGGAGGGAAGGCCTGCGTGGAAGAGGGGCTGCCTGAGCAAAGGCATAGAGAGGGGCAGCCGGCAGGCCGGGGTGGGGAACTGCAGAGGAGCGCCGGCCGCAGCCCTGGGGCCTAGAGCGCCGCTCCTGGTGGGGCAGGTTGGCAAGGCCCTGAATGCCAAACGCAGCACGATGGCTTTGGTCCTGTTGGTAGCAGGGAGCCACGGCATGTTCTCGAGCAGAGGGCTGGGCCACCCGAAGCCGCACTCAAGGAAGCCTGCTGGGCCCAAGGGAGCAGGAACTGGCAAGGGGCTTCCCCCACGTCCTCTCTGTCCCCCTCAGGCTTCCAGATGCGTCCCGCCTGCAGCCAGGTCTACAGTTTCTTCCACTGCGCGGACCCCTCTGCTTCGCGGCTGGAGCCCCTGCTGGAGCCCAAGTTCCACCTGGTGCCGCCCGTCAGCGTGCCCCGCTACCAGAGGTTCCCGCTGGGCGACGGGCAGTCCCTCCTGCTGGGTAGGCTCTCCGCGGTTGGGG